CCCCTGCATAATCAAGATCGACACTTAGGGTTGTTTAGATATATGGGTGTACAGTTTTAGCATGTCATATCGCGTATTATGTAGGATGTCACATAGGGTGTTTGACAATAATAAAAAAATTAATTACATAATCCATCAATAAACAATGAGATGAATTTATTAAGCCTAATTAATTCATCATTAGCAAATGTTTACTGTAGCACCACATTGTCAAATCATGAAGCAATTAGGCTTAAAAGATTCATCTCGCAAATTAGTCACAATATGTACAATTAGTTATTTTTTAGACTATATTTAATACTTCATGCAGATGTTCAAACGTTCGATGTGACAAGGTATAAATTTTTTATGTGGGAACTAAACAGAGCCTTGACAAAGCACACGTGACAGATAGAGCGCTCCTAGTACAATTGGTAGTTATGTGTTGGCATGTACGGCATATTTGACCACAATGAATAAGATGCGGTTTAACGGATGCGCAAAAGGATTCCACACAGTTACGAACGGCGCAAAAAGATTACATATTAATATTAGTAAAAAAGAGTTTCATATACACAACACAAAACGTCCCGAAGGCCATTGCCAGAGACCAAGGAAGAAAGAAAGGAGAAAAGAACCGCTAAAGGAAAAACTACGAAATATATATATATATATATATATATATATATAATGTTTCCTATATCGAGGGAGGCTGGTATCGGAGGAGCCCCACTATACTCCTAACAGGCCCCCAGAAGTAGCGGAGCCAACAGATGACCACAAATAGCCTTCTTGTAGGATGGACTCTATAAACAATGAAACCCTACTAGAGAGAGTAATCGAACACCCTGAACTTCCGCTCCTTCCATAGCTGTTAGAAGACTAGGAGAACTATGGAATCGAAACCCTTGCGAAGATACTTTGGCAGGCAGGCTCTACAAGCTGGCCAACATATCTGAAGTGAGCAGTCATGGAAAGGAGCGAGGTTAGGCCAGCCAAGTGAAGACAGAACATGGTGCTAGACCTAGCAAGCGAACACATAGTCGAGAAGGATGTGGTTCGTCGTTTCAAGTTCTTGGGTGCAAAAAGGACAGGGCGAGTGGCTGCCAAAACGACGCTTCTGCGGAAGATCGGCCGTCTAACAACACTGCTGGAACTCAAGATAGAGGAAAAGCTTGCATTTAGCATAACATTTAGCCTACCAGAGCAGATCGGCACAAGCAAAGGAGTGTTGGCCTAGGAAGAAAGCCTGGTAGGCTGAGCGAGCCGAGTAACGTTGGTCGCTTGTCCAGCGCCAAACAAGACGGTCCTCAGTGCCTGAAGAGAGCTAGACAGGAAGCACTGCATCCCAAACCACGAGGAATCGGGAGATGACTGGGACTATGCATGCCACAGATGTTCCTAACCAAAGAGTTGTTAGCGAGGGTAGAAGCGACCGTGCACGATGCTCGGAGACACAAGGGCATGGCAAGGAGAAGGTCTGGTGCCTAGGAGGCCACCGAGCAACCCTCAATCCACCGGTCCGTACAGAAAAGAGCCGAAGCGTCGTCACCTAACACGAAGAAGGTGGACACCGCAAATATGACGGAGACGCTCCGCTCGAGGGGGGCCTTTAGGTCAACCCAGTAGGGGTGGCCTGAACGCTGAAGCCGGAGTCAACGAAGGCGTAGAGCGAAACTTGTCGTCCTCAAGTTAGCAATACCCAAATCGCCAACAACTCTGGGGCAGCAAACATTCGTCCAAGACAAAAGGCATCATTCCCCATGGACCGAGTCTGTACCCATCCATATGAAAGAGCGACATTTCTTATCTATGGCCTTGATGACCTAGCCTGGTAGACCAATCGCCATGGACACATGGACCGGAAGAGAAGAGAGCACATACTAGACTAGCACAAAGCGGCTGCCCAAAGTGGTGAGTTGACCCTTCCAGGTAGGAAGCTAGTGGGAGACCTTGTCAATGAGGGGTTGCATGGCCGCTTTCGGTAGCTTGCAGACCGATAGCGGGATGCAGAGGTAGGTGAAAGGAAAGTCAAAGATAGAGCAGGGAAATAGCTCTGAACCAACTCCATGTCCTCGGCCGAACGACAGATCGGGGTTATCGAACATTTGGCAAAATTGGTGTGTAGCGCGAAGGTTGAACCAAAGACAAAGATGATGCCTTGGACGAACTCGAGATCCTGCCCGACAGAGGAAGAAAGAGGACCAGATCATCGGCATAGAGAGAAGCACAATGTTGTGAAGCACGGTCATTAAGGGGGAGAAAACCGCCTGAGTCAGAGGCCTTGCAGATAATTGCATTGAGCACATCCATGACAAGGAGGAAGAGCAGGGGATAAGGGATCACCCTGCCGGAGCCCCCATCGGTGGAGGAAGCGATGGCCCATCACCCTGTTGACCAGCACCCGGGAAGAGGAGCAACGGTGAATCAGGGAGATCCAATCATGCCAGCGGCGGCTGAATCCAAGGTGCGCAAGCACTTCAAATAGGAATGACCAACTGACCGTGTCAAAGGCCTTCGTAATATCCACTTTGAGAAGCAGATGTGGCGTGTGCCTGGCATGGAATGCCTTGGCCGCAAGCTGCACATAGCAAAAGTTATAGTAGGGTGAATGGCCTTTGAAGAAAGCACTTTGATTGACCACCACCAACTCGTCAAGATGAGGCGAGAGACAGGAAGCCGGGATCTTAGAAAACAACTTGCCAAAACTATGGATGAAGCTTATCGGGCAGAAATCCTTGACTTCTACGACCTCATCTTTCTTCGGCAAGAGATAGATGACGGCATCGTTGAGGGAGGCGAAACCCTGGTTGTTCGCCAAAATGAGGGTGTTGAGGGCAGCCAGGATTTATGACTTGATCACCGGCTAGCAAGATTTTGTAGAAACGGCAAGTGAAGCCACTACTACTGGTTAGGAACCAGTTTCTTTGCTACCATGACAATTGGAGTGAAATGACAAATATGTTCAGCCAAGATGCCACATGCCCAAAGCAGCCTTGCAAATCAGTTTAACAGTTTAAATAAACCATATTTATATGTTTAGACCCCTTTGAAGAAAAAATAAGGATTCTAAAGGATTTGTATCCTACAGAAAATAATCCTACAAAGTCATTTGAAACAAGGATTATTTTCTACATATACCTTCCAAATTCCAATAAAATGGACCAATTTAGAGCAATTTCGGAGGAAAAAAACATGAAGCCTCACCTCATGTTTTTCTCTTCCCATGTCTTGGATTCCTGCATTTTTTTTCTATGCGCCAATTAAATGACAGTTCTGAAATTTCCATGTGTTTCGAAATCTAGTATAAATCCAATGAGCATGTCATTTTATTTCTACATTCGTCCTATTTCTGTATTTTAAAGGAGCCTTATGGTGCTAAATAAAAAGTTTAATAATTCATGATGTTTGATGGCTCTTAGACATAAGCATGACATTTCCATGATTTTCTTAACAGAGACAAAAACACACTTGTCATAAACCATAGTTAGTACTAAAAGAGAAAAAAAACTAATGAGGTCAACCAAAAGAAAACGCAAAATCTAATTCGAGAGCACTCTCGATTTAGTCATAACTAGCGACGCCTATCTAGAATCCAGATATGTGTTAGCTTGAAGAATCTTACTTTATTATAGTCCTAATCCATTAAGTAAGTATGGGAAATATTCCTATCATCTATGCTTCAAATAAAATTTTCTCTTAAATTACTCATCCGATTTACAATCCGATTACACCGTTGTGTTCGTAATAATTAAATCTTTGCAACAATATCTCACATGATTATATTTTGATGAAAAATCACAAATTACTTTTATGATATGTCTAAATTACTTTTAGATTTCACTAAGTTACTTCTTAGACATATAAAAGTAAATTTAGTAAAGCCTAAAAGTAATTTACATATATTATACTTCCTCCGTTTCACAATGTAAGTCATTCTATCATTTCCCACATTCATATTGATGTCAATGAATCTAGACATCTGTCTAGATTCATTGACATCAATATGAATGTGGGAAATGCTAGAATGACTTACATTATGAAACGGAGGGAGTAGAAGTAACTTATAACAAAAAGAGAAAGTAACTTTAATTAGTGTCTTTTTTCATTGAACAAATTATCATATATATACTCCCCCCGTTTCGAAATGTTTGACACCGTTGACTTTTTAGCATATGTTTGACCGTTCGTCTTATTCAAAAACTTTTGTGAAATATGTAAAATTATATACCTACATAAAAATATATTTAACAGTGAATCAAATAATAGAAAAAGAATTAATAATTACTTAAATTTTCTGAATAAGACAAACGGTCAAACATATGCTAAAAAGTCAACGGCGTCAATCATTTCGAAACGGAGGGAGTATATAATTTACTTTTAGATTTGATTAAAATACTTCCTATACATTCATAATACTCTGAGGTGATTACTTTTATTATTGTTTTTAGTTAATTCTATAATTTGTGCTGATTAATTTAATTTCTAGATAGAGTCATGTTTTTATCTTTATAACGGATTTACTTCAAATGACATGCCAAAGTTACCTTCGTTTTGTTCTAAGTTACTTCTATAATATATGTAAATTACTTTTATATATCTAAGAAGTAACTTAGTGAAATCTAAAAGTAATTTAGACATATCATAAAAGTAATTTGTGATTTTTTATCAAAGTATAATGATGTGAGATCTTGTTGTAAAGATTTAATTGTTACGAATACAATGGTGTAATCGGATCATAGATCAGATGAGTAGTTTAAGATAAAATTGTATTTGAAGTATAGGTGAATGGTGTCTCTTATAGATAGACAAACCAAAACAAAACTAAGCTTCAAGTCCAAAAAAAACAAATGAGGCCCAACGTACCGGACCTTCCCAAACAGACCAGAACGAGTAAGCCCAACAGTTAAAAAGCCCACTTACATGCAAGCCCAAAGCATTTTCAGGACTCGCCATTCATGGGCCCTCATAGGGCCAAAGGCCCAGGAGAGCCCAAAACCGCACGCCCTGGGCCAGCACAGCCGTGACCCCCGTGAGAGTCGTCGAGACTCGATAGGGGAGAGGAGGGCTCAGGCGGCCATGGAGAAGTCGCCGCCGGAGACAGCCGCGGCGGCCGCGGAGGTGGCGGCGCGGTTCAGGTCGCTGGTCGACACCGGGGACATCGGCGCCATCAGGCAGACGCAGCACCTCATGTACGTCGGCACGGCTTCCCCCCCTTCCCCCTTTCCTTGCCCTTGCTCTCCCCGCTCCCTTTTCGATCGGGGCTGGTCGATGAACGGAACGCCGCCGTCTCTGATCCCTGCGCCTAGGCTACTGTCTCGGTGGTTCTCGTGTTCTATGATTTAGAGTTAGGGTCTCAGGGATTGCTTGTTGTTCCCATCGAGGGTTTGCGAAAGTGGCGGAACGGTGATTTGATTCGGTGGGTAGAATCGAATTCAGTGCATCCCTTTGCTAGGAAGAACCGAGGTTTCGGCGTGTGTCCACAAATCTGACCGGGTTTTTGGCTTAGCATTTCTGGGTAGCAATACGCAGCTGTTCACAATTGTGCATGGTTTCCTCACAGCGCGCCCATTTTTTGGGTTTTAGAATTCTCTTGGAGATGCTCTAACCCTTCATTGTCTATGCCGTGATGTTCTATTGATTTGAAAGCATACTGACATCCTATTTTCTGACATCGTGGTTACCTGCTAGAATTTTGATCTTACTATATGTTACTTCTTTCACAATGTAAGTCATTCTAACATTTCCCATATTCATATTAATATTAATGAATCTAGATAGATATATATGTCTAGATTCATTAACATCAATATGAATGTGGGAAATGCTAGAATGACTTACATTGTGAAACGGAGGGAGTACCTACTATGAACGAAAAAGGCATTATTGATTACTACTATTTATAAGAACTGAACTATTATAAGTTGTTGCATCTGTTTACCAGCAATGCATTCACTTTGGCAGTCCTGGGGTGCTTCGATAAGCTTTAGAGCTATTTTGAGTATTAACTAGATCCTCTCGTGAGATTTAGAGAATGTTGGTAGCCCTTCGTTTGTGTAGCAATGATTTCTTGGAAGGAGAATTTATCCTAATCTGTCGTTAGTGATTGATGCTTCACAATACTCAAGATTGATGCTAAATGCTCACTGTTAATGATGTCTCACAAATATTCTGGTGGTTGTAAGTTCTGTTTGAAATCAACAACTATTACCATATATGAACACTCCATATAACCGCATTTCCCTGCCTGGTCGCCCCTCAATTGGTCCCGCACAAAATTCGGTAGAGCGATATATATCTAGGAATAACATTCAAGATAGATATGTAGGAATAAGATCCATGTGCCAAAACTTTTGGTGCTATCAGTATTAACGAGTCACCCTTTCAGTACTGTTGTGATTTAAGATATCACTGTACTCTCTGAGCCCTTGATATTTACATCTTGTATCTCATCTTGCACTGGCGTGCTTGGCTCAACCAGTCTTGGAGTTTAAACAGATGTACAGTGTGGTAGTTCCTAAGTGGCTAAGTGTCATTATTAGTTGCAGCAATATTCATATGTACATTAATGGCTTCTTTAGAGCGCCAGAAATTTTCCTGATTATGCTGGAAATGAACTGCATGCTGTAAAATTCTTGCATCCAAAGGTTCCCAGTCTAATCCATGTTTCCCCTGTTGCCATCATTCTCTTGTTTTTCTTCGGAGGAAAAGAAAAGAACGGTCACTTGCTACTTCTGGAAATGCCATCTTTAAGTATCTGTAATCACTACCTTGCTGTTGCAAGTTAACTTTTGGGTGCATAGTTCTATTCCACATTTAAGCATGAACATGAAATGTTTGTGATTGTTGTATTGAGCTAATGGCAAGCATATGACTGTTTTGGGCATTTACATGCTCCATGTGTGGAAATTATGGAAGTGCTCAACATACACCCAAAAAAAAACTAGATTTGGAGTGGGAGACGTCCCTCCAAACATTTGTTAAAGACGAAATAGTGAGCGTGTTGGGGATTGAACACGGGATCTTGGTGTTGGAACCACATACCCCTTGCCACTACACTATCAAGTACATCTCAAGTGCTCAACATACATGTTGTTGTATTATTTTGCGATGCATTTGTCATATGTTGCGGTTCTGCCTTCCCAAGAGTTCTGTTTTAACTTGGACTGCTGAGCCTGCCTCAATTAGGTGAATTAACATATGATGAGTTGTAGGCGATAGTAGAACCTTGAAGTTTAATTGGGGTGCATCAAACTGTAGTAATGTTGGTTTGTCCATGCTTTATGCAAAACCAGCATGTTTTTCCCTTCATGCAAAGATCTACAAGAACCTTACCACGACATAGTAATATTTCTTAGATTTGGCAGATTCCTTTGCTCTATTGCTGGAAATTCTCTCACTTCTCGCTCTTCTGCTCTTCTGTTAAGAGTAATTTGCCTAACGTAACATTTATGTTGACATACTGTATTTTGTTATACATATGAGAAATGCTAGTTGCTTAGTGATACAGTTTTCTATACTTTAGCAGTAGAATTTGCAGGAATTGCTGTGTTCCTTGTCTTTTGCTGCTAATGGAAACCCCTACTTTTTTTTTGTGTTTACTCTGGCAGACTGGGACGGTTGCAAGATAGCAATGCAGTTCTCACACATTTTAACGAGTACTCTGAACAATGCTTTGCGGAGGTGTCTAATGACTTTGCTAGTAAAACTCGTCTTCTCAAATCCATGAAGGACGATCTTGACCATATTTTCTTGAAGCTGAGGTACATTTCCACTGGCCATTCAAAATTATGATTTTCTGCGTTTCATCCTCCTTTAGTTTTTCAGTTCTCTTATCCCCAAGCATGCATTCGAATTACTATCATAACAATTTTCCCACTTGGTAAACTATCTTATGTTGTAGAAGCATGAAATCGAGGCTAGCGGCAACATATCCAGATGCTTTTCCCGATGGTGCAATGGCAAAAACGATGGACCAAAGACCGGACCTTGAAAGTCCGCTTGATTAAAACAGCTTATCATTTTGACTGAGATCTCCGGTTGAGTCCTTCTGTACTCATCTTGAAGAAGAATGTTTTGTCTGCACTTTTGCCGAAAATGTATCTTTGAGAAACGTCTGCTTCTGTTTATTAAGTTGTGTAACCTTGTAGTCCTATGTTTTTTAGATAATGGATAAGTTATAACCTTGTAAATAACTGTTCTCTCTAGATCAGCCTCTCTCACACACTTTTGTGTGGTAAAAACTTGTTGGATCATAGCTACTGTATTTCCATCGATTTTTTTTTAAAAATAATTTTGTTATGCAACTAAAGATCTAGCAACACGACCTCGCCAGGGGAAAACATTGAGAGCCTCATCGGTGGCCCATATATTCCCTAATAAGCCGTTTTGACTTATTAGGGAATAAAAAGTAATTTATAGGTAAAATTTTCATATATGTGTTCTTGATAACTTAAAAGTAATGTTGAAAATATTTTAAAATCAGTCTCAAAATTAAGTTTGAAAATTGGGTTTAAAGAAACAGATGATTAGGAAGAGGAAGATATAAACAACGGATTTGTCAAATGGCATTCAACGGAAAAACAAACCAAAATCTTATGAAGTTTTTTACTTTCAGATATGCTCTACCATTCATGCTCGGCTGCCTCCTTCAGCTCAGGCAAACTCCGGCAAGCTCTGACCAACTGCAGCTGACTTTTAACGATTTAGTGTTAGCGACGGACGACAGTAGGTACCGGGGACTGGGGGTGGTGAGGTAGTGGGTCATGCTGGCACTACCCGTCTAGCCACGTTGTGTTTGGGCTGTAACCTGGCCCAGCGTGCCAGCTTGGGCTGTAACCTGGCTTAGCGTGCCAATACGACAAGTGCATGTAGCGAGCCAGCGCAACATGGCCCAGGAATAGCACATGGCTTGGCCCACGTGGCACGATGGCGATCGACGACTGGCGAACAACCGCCAATTGAGCAACTATCATCTGAGTAGGAGCCAGGAGGAAAGGAGAATGAAAGAATCTAGGAAGTTAGGGGATTAGGGGAGAGGAAGCAATGATGGACGCTCGTCGACGTAGGCCTACACAGTAGCGCTGCGGCTTGGCCAACCCCATTCGTGAGCACAACCACTAGGCATGTCGGTCATTGTGGGCTCACTGACTCGGGGTGAAGAAAGTAGGAAGTGAAGGGTCACGGCGGTGCTTGACAAGTAGGAAGAGGAATGTGCTATCAGTGAGCGAAGGACCTCGCTAGAGCTTCGCCAAAGTTTGTGTAGCAAGATGCAACAAACTCTGTTCGCATTTGTTTCCTTGGTATATTTATCAAATGTGGGCTAACCGGCTTCCACACAACCCATATAATTGTTGATGAGAAAACACGGCAGCCTAGGAGTTTTGCTTAGCTCCAGTGTAAGTCCAAATCTCGCTTTTGGGTTCAGAGTGTGCCAGTTGATTTGATCCTGCAACCAACAAGAATAAACAAGAAAACCAAGTTAAATTAAATAGCCAATCGGATGGTAAGCCGATGATGTATCATGTAAACCTAGCCGATGTGATCTGACCGAATTGGCTGTTAGGTGCAGAATGAATAAAATAAAATGAGCCTAAAATATTCCATCAGCGGTCGATATAATCAGTCATGTAATCCATAATTCACTCTTTCTCTTAGATGCGAGCAAACAATATAGATTAAATGAGACAATGTAGATTGCTCATAAATTAGATCAAAAGAATTAAAGATTACATGTAGTTCATATCATAGCCAATGATGCAATACTTTAGGTTAAGATATATGTCATATCGGTTAGTACTCCAGTACACCTAAGTAACAGTGTGATACACTTGTGTAAGGGGCAAATACAACATGAAAAGCATGATTAAAGGATTTAAATAGAGCTAAACAATCACATCAGATAAGATCGGCTGAAACAATTGATTCTACCCCTATTAGCAATCAAGAAGCAGGTTAGTTTCTATGATTCTAAGCATGACTAGGGTTGATGCAGCACAAAGTATGAAAAGAAACATAAAATCTAAACAATCAAGCTTTTGACTAATTTTCAGGGTGGCGGATACCTTAGCTAATCTAAATTGACAAAACGATTTAGCCGATACTGGCAAAATCCTAGAAAAGGCATGTCCGACATAGCTATATCGAATTATCAAGTTAGATTAGCTAAGATATATGATAACCATCAATTGTAGAAAATAGATTAGAACATCTAAAGCGACGCTCTAATCCGCCAAGGCAAGACGCTGAGACAAGTCATACCTTTTATTAGTAGATTGAAGCCGATGCCCTAACTCGAAACAATAACTCGTCGAAAAAATAGAAAAGTAAAAAGGTGGCGATGCGCCGAGAGTATATTGAACAGTGGATGTTTTTTTACAAGACCCTAGGCACATATTTATACCCGTAGTACAAAACTTGTCCATACGGACATGACTCAAACTTTACAAAATAAACACACCAGCCTATTGTGGACTCTAACACGGATTTCTAAAACTCATAAGGGAAAATTGACTCTTATCCTAATTAATAGATACAATTGCTTTGGATGGACTATATCCTTGTTTGACAATATTTCTAAGTACTCAATCCGCGCTCAACTCATACTTGGAAACTACCTGTATCGGCTGCCTTGTCCATATCGGCTGACCAAGTCCGATTACATATCGGCCGATATATCCCCCCGCCAATGCGCTGTGCTGTTTTTGGAAACCAATCTAATTTCTTCAAATCCGCTTCGGATCCATCTTCTCCTCCGAGTATCTTGCCAAATTTTGCTCTTAACAATAACCTAATCATGCTAGGCCAACAAAACATGACCCGACATCTCACTAGCCTGTGCCTGGGCTCCAGCCTCAGCACGTGGGCCGACACGGCACAATCCGTTCGGTGAGTCGTGCCTAATCGGGCAATATCCAAACGTATCTATTATTTATGCACCATCTCAACCCTATAAAAAGGTAGAATAAAAATCCGTTGTCTCAGCGGTTCAACCCCACGGGCTCCATTTGGAAAATGAGATTATAAGTGATAGATACTATTTCAGATATCCACCGTTTTGGTAGTGTGTGGATGGGATGTGCAAGCAATCCAGGTGGATTGAGTGCTAGGCAAAATTACTAAATTACCCTCGCCATTTTGATGCCTGTGTGGTGCGCGAGTTATCCTTAGTACGGGTGAAAACGATAACGGAAATTCCCGGCCGACCGACATTCGTTTCTGACTTCTACCAGCCTGGTAATAAACCAAAATGAAAATGAAAATAGTAAAAAAAAAATGGAAATGATTTTGCTATTATACCGACTGTTTTCGTATTCTTGTGAAAATTCCTGTTTATATAATATGGTAATTACCGTATTTCTAAATATGTTGATATTTATAGGGTTTGTCTCTACTTGGTCGATAATTTAGAGACTGACTGACTCTTCAATCAATTTCCTAACTCGAGTGCATGGCAAAATAAAGTTGATTTATAATTTATACAGTATAAACTTGAATTTATCTACACATGTACTATATAGTTATGTCAAATTAAATATATACTTTTCTAGTTTAATGTTTTTTATTTGTTACCGATTTCCTTTGTATCGATATGTTTCCGTTCGTATCGTTACGTTTTGGTTTCCCGATATTTTTGATGTCATTTTTATTTTTGATTTTACCGTTTTCGATTTCTTCTTCAAGAGAAATGATTTTGGTTGTTTTCCGACCCTAAATTAAGAAATGAGTGACCCCTCCTCGACGTCCTCGTCACTTAGCCCTTGCGCACAGCCTCCGCCTCCGCCTCCGGCTCCGGCGATCCCCATCCATCCCGCGAGCGAGCAGGGCGCCGTCGTTCTTCCTGCCGCATCCATCCTGGTGAGCACATCCTCCGCCACCGCCGCCTGCCCCGATCCCCATCCATCGCGGCGCGCGCGAGCTCGTCCTGCTGCTTCCGCCGCATCGGTGACGCACATCCTCTTTCCCATCTCTCTCTCTCTCTACCCACGCACTTCTTCTCGAATTTGTGTTAACCCTAGCTTCTGTTCTAAGAATTTGCCTTAACCTTAATACTGACAACAGTTTAATGGTTCCCAAAAAGGTTTTGTTGGGGGGGGGGGGGGGTTCAACTGAACCCCTATGTTAGATCCGCCACTGATGGGGGTTCAAGCTTTCAACTTAAGAGGCATGGTTAGAAAGATAATAGCACCAAGCAGCAAATTTAACACACTAGTTAAAATGGAAGTTAAAATCTGACAACAGGAGTGGATATTTTACTTCCTTGGACATAATTAGACTTCTTACAGTATAAGCATGTACATGCAGATACATACTTAGTATTATGCAAAAAAAATTGGGGGTACATATGTACCCCCATGAATCATGCTGTCTCCACCACTGCCAAACATTCAAACCTACCTTAGATATGACAAATTATGGCCACTTACAAGAATAGAACGCTGAACACCCTGTTAATCTCTTGTACAGTCATGACCCATTGGCCAACTATAGTATAGAAAACAAATGGGCTGAGCTAATGGTCCAGCACGTTTGGGTCCAACACACAATTTTACCTTTTCCAGGAGAGTTCTGTAACTAACAATGACTCACCATTTATCAGGCTCATTGACACTCAAGTCAAAAAAGAAAAGGAGAGAAAGGGGGATATGGAGGAGTGGTCACCACCGTCATCTCCGTCGCTGGTGGTGCGGAGCCCCAGGCAGACGGTCAGCCTTCTCCGGAACCGTCACCCATGGCGGGAGTCTCGGTCGCCCCCCACATCCACATCCACCTCGTTGGCCGGTGGCCCCAAGCTGTCGGAAGTTTATGGCTTTGTGGGATCCATCACCACCGTCATCGCCACCACTGTCTACCTTGTCTGGGCTTACATGCCTGAGCGTTGCCTCCGCTCTCTTGGCATCACCTACTACCCGAGCAGGTGAGAATCTGCATCCAGGTAGATCAGATCAAGTCAAGTATGGATGAATTATTAGTCGATTGCGTGCTGCTGTGGTAAGCTTAATTCGGTTCTCTTTTCATTCAGGTATTGGGCCCTTGCAGTGCCATCGTTTGTGATAGTAGCGACGGCACTTTGCATGGTCGTTTATGTGGGCTTCAACTTCCTGGCCACTCCTCCCCCCACTTCCTTTAACACCATTTTTGGTGAGTTGTAGTTCCATGCCATGTCATCAACTACTACTAGTCGCTGTACTCCATGTTTTAGGATTGGTATCTAAAAAGTAGTATTGTTATCTTACTTTCATTTGCAGACGAGTACAGTCGAGAGCGGACCATGTTTGACCCTGCAAATGCAAATGCAACGGGAGAAGAGGAGGAGGTAGAGAGGCCCATCGAACCTATTTCAGACATTAGCATTGACCAGATAAACAGTCTTATGTTTGGTGATCTGCAGAAAAGAGCCCAACAATTCTGAATTGTAGGATCAGTGCTGCTTCTGCAACTTGATAGGCTTTTGTGTGACTGAGCACTGAATTTATGATAGAGATGGGTTTTACCCTGTTGAGATGATGTTCAGGGTACTAGCATCAATTCCATTTTTTCTTCTTTTTTTAGCGTGGTTCAATAAATGATGTATGGTATTTGCTGCTAACTGATCTTGGTTGAAAACAAAGCAGAGCTACTAGTGCCTTGCGGGCGTATTGCTGCATGCTTCATTTGCTAACCAGACAATTATTGGCGCCCATGTCGATCCCTCCTCCCTTATTATTTCCATTTGTCATTATTGTGCTCCACCAGACTGCAATACCCCACATTAAGAAACGGTACAAACGAGGAAACCCAGGATTTGATAACTTACATGATGTGATTTATTACCTTCTTTGTAGTTATACAAAATAAACCGTCCATCTTTGTGAACACAGGCGTGACTTCTGTGGGAGTTGAGAGGAGGAAGAGACCATGGAGAAGTCGCCACTGGCGTGGTTCAGGTTGCTGGTCAACAATGAAGACGTCGTTGCCATAAAGCAGATGCAGCATCTCATGTATGAGGCATAGCTTTCCCTCTTTCATTTCCCACATGACATTCCCCCTCCCTTTTTGCCCGTCGTTCTGTGCTCAATTGGAGGATTTGTGCTGATCGATGAACATCATGGTCTCTGATACAGGCCTAGGGCACTTTCTGGGTTGTTCTCGGTTTCTAGGAAGAAACTTTGCCTGCTTATTGGCCTGATTCATTGCTTGTAGTTGTAGTTACATGTGTCAACACTGGGAGACATGGTTTGGCTTAGAGTTAGGTCTCAGGAACATTGCTTGTTTTTCCCATCGAGGGTTTCCCAAAAGCAGAGTGATTATTTGATTAGGTGAGTTGAATCAAATTCAGTGTGCTCCTTGCTAGGGAAAACTGATGTTTTGCATTGTGTCCACAAATCTGATCAAATATTGGCTAGAATCTCTTGTAGCAATTGCAGTTCTGCATGGTTTGATGTATGCACCTCACAGCTAAACACATGCACTCTGTGATGCCTAACCCTTTATAGGTGATGTTCTATAGGTTCAAAGAATATTGACGCCATATTCTTGACATTGGACTACCTGCTAGAATTTTGATTGTACATGCTATCTGGATTATTGTGCCCTAAAATAAGGAACTGGATTATTGCAAGTTGCTGCATTTGTTCACCAGAGATGCATACGCTTTGGCAATGCTGATGTGCTTTGAGAGGTTTCATTACTTGCCTACTTCTAGTATTAAGTTATTAACTAGATCCTCTGGAGAGTTTTGGAGGTTGCCCTTCTGGTAGCCCTTTGTTTGTGTAGGAATGTTTGCCAGGAAGGTAATTGTCCTAATCAGGAATCTGCTAGTGATTGATACTTCACAAATACTTAAGATTAATGCTAAACATGTGCTGTTAATGATGCCTCATCAAATATTCTAGTTGTAAGTTCTGTTTGAAATTATCAACTATTATCATATTCACACCATTACATCCACACTCATTTTAGAGTCAATAATCATGGTAGCATCCTCTTTATGGCATGCCAAATTCTACACTTCCATCTTGAATTTCCTTCCCTAAACATCCATATAAATATATAAACTCACTTCCTCGCTCAGCTGCCCCTCAACTGGTTCAGCACAAAATTTGGTAGACCGATAGATATCTTGGAGTAAGATCCATTTGCCAAAACTCTTGATGCTACTTGTATTGACGAGCCACCTGTCCAGTTCTGTTGCACTTTAAGGTAGGAGCCCTTGTGGTTCTGGATGTGATATTTGCGCCTTGTACTTTGTCTTGCACTGCCATGCTGTTCATCCATCCTATGCATACTTGGAACCATTATTCTAAAACAAGAGTTCAGACAATAGTTGGAATTGTGCTTTGAGTTAGTCACCTGAAATGGCCCTTGGAAAATTCGATGTTTAAGATATTTTTAAAATCATTGAATATGTTGCATTTTCAAATTATACCTGTCAATAATTACTATATATTTTCTGCTCAGCACTCACTAATGTGCATTGACCTATTGGTTCAACCAGATCACTGGCATGCTTTTTCCCTTCATTACCACAATATTACTATGTTTCTTAGATTGACAGATTCCTTTGCATTAATTGGTGGATTTCAGATTTGCTTCTCACTTTTCTGGTGAGAGCAATTTGCCTATCAAAATGTGCAGTATTTTGTTAGACATATGAGCAATGCTAGTCGCAGTGATACAATTTCTGTACCATGGCAGTAGGATTTGCAGGAATTGTCCTGTTCCTTTTCTTTTGCAACTAACCGAAATCCGTACCGCTCTTTTTGTTTACTCTGTAGACTGGGACGATTGCAAGATAGTAATGCAGTTCTCACACATTTTAATGAATACTCTGAACAATGCTTTGCGGAGGTGTCTAATGACTTTGCTGGTAAAACTCGTCTTCTCAAGTCCATGAAGGCTGATCTTGACCATATTTTCCTGAAGTTGAGGTACATTTCTTCCAGGTCTCTTTATCCCAGTGTGCATTCGAATTGGATTTGTACAACAGTTTTCCAGCTGAACAAGCTATATATCTTATGTCTATGTTGTAGAGGCATGAAATCGAGGTTAGCGGCAACATATCCAGATGCTTTTCCTACTGGCGCAATGGCAGAGACGATGGACCAAAGACCGGACCTTGAAAGTCCTCTTGATTAAAACAGTTTATCGTACCCTTTTGGTAATGAGATCTACGGTTGAGTTCTTGTGTTCCGACATCTTGAGAACTCAAGAAGAATGTTGTTCTTTCTGCACTTTTGCTGAAAATGTATCTTTGAGAAACGGCTGCTTCTGTTTATAAAGTTGTAACCTTGTACTCCTATGTTTTTTGTGATATAAATGGATTAGTTGTCAATCAATCTCTCTCGCTTTTGCTTGTGGATCTATGCTCGGTCATAGCTGCTGCATTTCCTTGATTTTTTTTTAAAAATAACTACTTCTATCGGTGCTCCCTCCGTTCCATAAAAATCAAACCAGTCCTGGTTTTTTTTTTGACGGAGAGAGTAAGCTCTAGGGACACAAAATTGCCAAAAAATGAAAAAAAAGATCGAAGTTTGGGGGTAAAAAAAGAACAGATGATGGGAAGAAGGTGATTTGATCGTTTGGGGGCAGATTGTTTTTATGGGACGGAAGAAGTAAGCTCTAGTGACACAACATTGCCTGAAAAAAAAAAGGAAGTTTAGGGGTTAAAAATGAACAGATGCTGGCGATGAAGGATAAAAACAATTTTGATTTGGCCATCTGGGGACAGATTGGCAATCAATGCCTGCCATTCGTCACTGCTGTTGGTGTTGTGCCAAAATTCCAGCAAAAAAAACATGGAAACGGCAGCAAGTGCTGAGCTGGTCATAAATTCATTTACACTTACAGGTGGACCCCCAATATACAGCGAGACCAGCAACCCCCGCCTCTAACTGGGCCTCCCATTGAGCGGCCCAGCCCACCACCGCTAATAAACCCCATTCGCTTCGTCAGGTCAGACTCGTCCCCCCCTCCCTTTTATACCCTCTCGGTCTCTCTCTCCTCTCCTCTCCTTTTTTTTTTTCGCAGTCTCTTCATCCGTCTCGCATCCATTCCCCCGCCTCCCGCCATTTCAACCCGCCCCCAATTCCAAAACCCTCGCCTCCTCCAACAACGCGCCCCCAAACCCTAACCCTAGGAGAGGGCGCGGCGGCGGCGGCGGCGGGGGGCGAGATGCCGAAGGCTACGGCGGCGGAGGAGGAGGAGTTCCGGGCGGAGGTGGAGGAGCGGCTGATCAACGAGGAGTACAAGATCTGGAAGAAGAACACCCCGTTCCTGTACGACCTCGTCATCACCCATGCCCTGGAGTGGCCGTCCCTCACCGTGCAGTGGCTCCCCGACCGCGCTGAGCCCGCTGGGAAGGACCACTCCGTCCAGAAGATGGTGCTCGGCACCCACACCTCCGACAACGAGCCCAACTACCTCATGCTCGCCCAGGTCCAGCTCCCCCTCGACGACGCCGAGGCCGACGCGCGCCACTACGACGACGACCACGCCGAGATCGGGGGCTTCGGCGCCGCCTCCGGCAAGGTTCATCTCTCTCCCCCTCCCCCCCCCTTTTCCCCTCCACTCCCCCCCCCTTTCTCTTCTTATACGCTATTAATTAATTCTCGTCGTTGTTGCTATGCTGTGCTATGGTGAGGCAGTGGGCTCGTGCTGCTCTGTTCGGGGTTAGGATTTCCTTTGTTGATTGTTTTGTAATCTGGTGCTATTGGGTTAGAGGATATTGGTGGTTTAGTCAGGCGAGAGGGGATTTATGTTTTGATCTGCTCCATGGTGGCTAGTTCGGGCGCTAGTTCCTGTTCTGCGGCTGCGAGTGATTTTCTCTCTTTCGAATTATGGACTCTGATACCAGGTGCATGGTTAGGGTTTCAAAGACTTTTGCACGCCTTGCTCTGTTCTGTTCGGGGTTAGAATTTCCTTTGTTAATTGTTTTGTAATTGGTGTTATTGGGTTCGAGGAGAGTGGTGGTTTAGTCAGGCGAGAGGGGATTTATGTTTATCTGCTCCATGGTGGCTAGTTCGGGCACTAGTTATGTTCTGCGGTTGCGAGTGATTTTCTCTCTTTGGAATTATGGACTCTGATACCAGGGCGGTGGTGTTTTGGGTTATAGCAGGCGGCCGGCGATGGTTAGGGTTTCAAAGACTTTTGCAGGTTTAGTTTCGTAATGGGTAAGTATGTCTTGACATATATTTATGAGGGTGAAATGATTTGGAGGAGGATAGCGTACTGCTTTGGCGCGATTTTGCACTATGGCGCACGTGGGTTATTACTTTGTTAGTTTGGCGCTTGTGTGTTATTACTTTATTCGTTTGGCGCTTGCGCATTATTACTTTGTTAGTTTGGCGCTTGTGCATTATTACTTTGTTAGTTTGGCGCTTGCGGGTTAGTCAACCATGCAGATGGAGTAGACTGTACCATTGAATTCCTTGAGGTTGTCTGATCCACCTAACGGAAACAAAGTTTTCATTTATGGTAGTTATGAAACGGTGCTGAATTTGTGTGACATTTGGTATATTCGAAGCATAATGTCGAAGGTATACCCATCTGGTAATTGGAAAAGATTTTATTGATTGAATTCATATATTTGATCCATGTCTTCTTCTTCTTTTTTTTATAAAAAATGCTCGACTTCAGGAATATCCAGAATGGTGATTAATCCTTGTATTTTAAGCCCTTTTTTTATGCAATGTATTTATAATCAAAGATGAAATTTTCTTCAAAGCCCTTTGGGACTGATATTTTCATATTTCAGTTATTTACGTTACCTGTGCAACTATTGGATTGTAGCTCTCGTGGTGAAAAAGCTGCAGTGTTCTCTTTTGGTCCCCTTTTCATTTTCTTATTTGTATTCATGTTTGCTATTTTATTGTTGGTCAGTCTTCTTTTCAGTTTTCTCTTTTTGATTTGTCTCTTGCAGCCTTTTTATAGTGAGAACTGTTTGATCCCCTCTCAGAAATAGTATAGGTCTATCAGGTTCTTTTTGTGACCATGCTTGAATTTGCATTGAGGATTACAACCTTCTAAGTTTGACATAGCCTTTGTGCAATTCTATTATTGCGGAACCTGCACAAATGGTATTATCTCTTTCTGCATAATTGGGCCGTACCATTCAATTTTTGCCACATGTAAGCCCAATTCTAGATGTGAAGCCAGAAATCTCTTCTGTCCCTGGGCCCCCTTGACCTCATTCCCAATCTGGCTTAGCCCAAACATGATAGCGCAGCCAGCCAATAAATCCCTGACCTCCCTGCCATATCTCCATCAAAGCTCTCTAGATTAAACCCTAGAAACCTCAATCCTCTATGTTGGAGTTTGAGAAAGGGAGGGCGAAGATGGCGGCGTTTGAGAAAGTGAGGGCGAAGGTGGCGGCGTTTGAGAAAGGGAGGGCGAAGGTGGCGGCGTTTGAGAAAGGGAGGGCAAAGGTGGCGGCGTTTGAGAAAGGGAGGGCGAAGATGGCGGCGTTTGAGAAAGGGAGGGCGAAGATGGCGGCGTTTGAGAAAGGAAGGGTGAAGAAGGCGAATACGTCAGGGACGAAGATGGCGAATACGTTGGTAGGGATCACGGAGGAGCAGGATGATATGAAGATGAAGATGGCGGCGTTTGAGAAAGGAAGGACGAAGGTGGATAAGTTGGGGACGAAGATGGTGAATATGTCGGTAAGGATCATGGAGGAGCAGGAGGATATGAAGACCAGGGAGGAGCAGGAGATTTACCAGACCTGGCTGTGCAACATTCCGTTCATCTATGACCTTTGCATCATCAACAATTTGAGTGTCCTTTGAGTACCGTGCAGTGGCTTCCTGGTCAGGATCAACATCAGAAGATGGTGCTTGGCACACATCACCCGCAAAACTCTGAAAAATCTCCCAATTACCTAATAATTGCACAAGCTCAACTATCTTGTGATGATGATGAGGACATAGAATACCCTTGTGGTGATGTTGAGGATATGGAATACTGTGAATCTGACGATGCTAACAGTGGCTTGTATGGTGCAGGATCCAGCAAGGTTTGTACCTCTCTTAGGCTTTTGTGATGTACCTCTACACGAATGGAGCTTTGGTTTGTGATTGCTTTGCTATATGTGGTTTGAACTTCCTTCATCAATTATCTGTGCACCCTTTTTTCCTTTTTTTGGTGTGTAATACGGAGTGGAGATTTTGTGGGGTTTTTTTTTCCTACCATGGTTAATTGGATTGAATTGGGATGATACCCTCTTTCTGCTTTTAGATGCACACAAAGTAATTGAGGTGCATTTGTTCTATCAAATTAGGGACAAACACATCTGAATCTAACTAGGATGTTTACTGTTTGTTTGTGATTGGGGATTTAGGTTGTGCCATCTTCGGTGGGTTTATGTGTATGATTTTCAATTGTTTTGTATTGTTAAGGAAAATTTAATTTATCTGTTCTGAGATTCAATCTTCCATACCATTTTGTTATGTTTTCTTCTTTTAAATCATGTATGTCCTTGGAGTTTCTTGCCAACCCAATGACATGCTTCACATGTCATCTATATATGTATCCATTAGAATTTTATGGCCATGTTAGGAACTCTTCATCGTTGAAATAACACATATCATATATTGTGTTGTCTACATCAGTCCACCTGTAGCAATAATAGTTGTTATGTGTGACCAAGAGATTAACTTTTCTGTGAATCTATTATTCTGATCCCCTTTGTTTTTCTTACTACATTGTTTTTGATATTTAATCATTCTATAACCCATCAACAGTAGTATTGCTTTTCCTGTTGCACTCTATATTAGAAGAGCATAATTGTATCATAGAGGTGGAAGTAGGAATATACAACTCTTCTACTGAATTGATATGCCATTTTTACAAGTATCAGTGTGCATGTGCCCTAAAGTTCTGTTAATTACTTCCTTTGTATATTGCGATTATTATTGTTTGTTTGTATCTGCATCACATGAAAATTTATTATATAGCATTGAATATTTATGCAACCTACCTTTTTCTAGGGAGGTGTTACATCCATAGAGTGAAGGTAGCATTAGAATGTTCCCTTCATACTTGGGCTTGCTATTTCTGTATTTTTGAACAAAAATGCTTCTGTGATGGCATACAGATAAATACATTGAATGTATTCTTCTTTCTTTATCCCGTTTCCTTCTTCGCAAATATCACAATTGCATATGGCTTCTTCCTTTTGTAGGTGCAAATAGTTCAACAGATAAATCATGATGGAGAGGTTAATCGAGCTCGGTATATGCCCCAGAATTCATTTATAATTGCTACCAAGACAGTCAGTGCAGAAGTATATGTCTTTGATTATAGCAAGCACCCATCAAAGCCTCCATTGGATGGTGCATGC